AGGTTCAGTTCATGTTGTAGCATAGATCAAAACCTCATTCTTTTTTATGGCTGAATAATATTTCATTGTATGAACATTCTACATTATGCTTGTCCATTCATCCAATAAATTTATGTTTTTGGGCATCATGAATAATTCTGCTATGAACATCCATGTTCAAGTTTCTATGTGGACATATATTTTCACTTCTTTTGGGTATATATCTAGGAATGGAGTTGTGGGGCCATATGGCAAATCTGTGTTTAACTTTTTTTTTTTTTTTATTTTTTATTTCTAGGATAGAGAGAGACAGCGTGAACAGGGGAGGGTCAGAGAGAGAGGGAGTCACAGACTGAAGCAGGCTCCAGGCTCTGAGCTGGCAGTCAGCACAGAGCCCGACGCGGGGCTCGAACCCACGAACCGCGAGATCATGACCTAAGCGAAAGTCGGACGCTTAACCGACTAAGCCACCCAGGCGCCCCATTAACTTTTTTCTTATATATATTTATTTTTGAGGGACAGAGAATGAGTGGAGGAAGGGCAGAGAGATAAGGAGACAGAATCTGAAGCAGCTCCAGCCTCTGAGCAAACATTCACCACAGAGCCCGATGCGGGGCTTGAACCCACGAACCATGAGATCATGACCTGAGCCGAAGTCAGATGCTCAACTGACTGAGGCGCCCAGGCGCCCCTCTCACAGCATTCTTAAAATCTCCCACAGTATATACATATTTCCTTGTTGTCTGTTTCTCTCTGTACCAAAGCTCTGAAAACAAAGATAGTGTCTATTTCGTTCACGTCCTCACTCCCGGAAGCGCGTTCTCACCACGGAAGGGGCTCATTATTTACTTACAACTGACTTGGGGAAGGAACAGAAACACCTCATCAAAGCACATTGTAACAATAAACGAGATGGCACGTTAAGTGCTTAGCACAGTACCCAGCACACACAAGGGCCGGTGGCTGTTTTTCAATAAACGTGAACTCCTTTCATTAACATCGTTCCTTCCTAGGTACGTTCGACGCCAAGGGCTCCAGGGGCAAGTGAGGCCACACGGTGCTTTCATGCGCTAAAGGAGAAAGCGGGAGACTCTCTGGGATGCAAACGCTCGCAGGAGCCTCCGGCCACAGGGGAAGGAAGGACACGCCTAGGCCTTAGCAAGGAGCTGTGCGAGGTGACAGACACACTACTGGGGACACTGGGAGAGTCCTGGCCCACACGAGGCTTACATTCGAGGTAGAAAGTTTTCCTGGGCTGTTTATTGTTTCAACGACCCTCGCAGCTCTAGACTTAGGAGGGACTTAGCTTGTCCCCATTTTCCGAGGGAGTTCAGTGCAGAGCAGTGAGGTCACCTGTGAACACGAGCCTCGCCTCCCTCTCTCCTCCGGGGCCTTCCTGCTCTGCTACGTGACCTAATCACCAGGATGTAAGCTCTTTACACTACAGTATTTTCTAGTCAGCTAAACTGAAAAGAAAATTCATCTATCAGTAACGTTATGTAAATATTTCTTACACTTATAACAATTGTCTTATATTTGTGAAACAGGGACCTTCAGGATACAGCAATGGGACACCCACAGACACGACTTCCTGGAGTCGGCTCCGGGTTTGGGAATGTTTGTGACTGTTACAACCTACAATGATGAGGTAAAACATTCTTTCGTGTTTTGTCACTAAAACTTTTCATTTGCTAAAAACTCTTATGTCATTTGAGAAGCCTCTGCATAAGCACTCGGTGACCAGAGTTTACAGTTTGTAACGTGCACAGCCCCGAACAGAGGTGCTGCACAGACACGGCACGTGCCCGCCTCCAGTCAGCCCACAGTCTAGCTGAAGAGCAGAGACCTTAGCACAAAACATTTTATTTTATTTTTTTTTTATAAATTTTTTTTTATGTTTTATTTATTTCTAGGAGAGAGAGAGACAGCGTGAGCAGGGGAGGGTCAGAGAGAGAGGGAGTCACAGANTTATGTTTTATTTATTTCTAGGAGAGAGAGAGACAGCGTGAGCAGGGGAGGGTCAGAGAGAGAGGGAGTCACAGACTGAAACAGGCTCCAGGCTCCGAGCTGGCAGTCAGCACAGAGCCTGACGCGGGGCTCGAACCCACAACCGCGAGATCATGACCTAAGCGAAAGTCGGACGCTCAACTGACTAAGCCACCCAGGCGCCCCTTTTTTTTTTTTTTTTAATTTTTTATTTTATTTTATTTTATTCTATTTTTTATTTTTATTTTATTTTTTTTTTTAGCACAAAACATTTTAAAGCACTAGAAATGCTCGGCCGCCTACTCTTCATCCTGGACTTGCTGGTCACGCTGGGCGGATGGGACCCACAGGCTGAGGCATCCCTGTGGTTTTGCCAGGGCCACGGCCTCACCCAAACACGAAGGCCACAGAGGCGCCTCCTCCCTCCTGCCTGGCAGGCACTCTCTTTGGTTATGTGGCAGCCTCTGGGTCTCTGTCCCCCAGGAGTTAGCAGGAGTGGCAAAGGCGCCATGGTCAAGTGGGAGGAATGCAAATTTTGGAGTCAGAGCCAAGTTCAGGTATAGATTGTCAAGCTGAATCTTCAGCAGGTTGACGGCTCCGAGACTGTTTTCTCATCTGTATATTGGATGTAACGGAGACCTCCATTCCCCATCGCGCCAGCTCCAGCCACTCTTTCTCAGTCCACTAATTCCGACACAGTTGCGAGAACTACTTCCCTTTGGACTTGGGGTTGCCCTGGGATGTGCTCATGGTGGAGCAAAGCCTCATAGAGCAGAGCAGGCACTTCCACTGGTGCGGAGAGGACGCGAAGTCCTTGTTCTCATTACACTGGATGCCTCCCTGGTCCTAGCCCAGGAGATATTTTGCACCCTTACTCCTGTGCAGACCCCACTCCAGCTGGACTGCTGGGACACTTGAACCTGGCCTGATGCAGCACCTTCTCTTGGTGCACCTGGCACTGGCCCAGTGGTGGTTCTGCCGGGCTGCTTCCCAGACTCCTGTCCACATAGCTACCTCCCTCCCTATACTTATACCAAGACCCAACTCGTCTTTGTTCTTTCATGAGCAATCTCGAAATGTCTCCGTGGCTTATTAAATGCTGACCTGAAATTTTAGTTGAGCTAAAAACTGTTACAGAAAATCCCAAGTACTGTCTCTAAGACAGAGAAAGTTCATTCTTCAAAAACGTAATTGCCTGAAACAATACCCCCTTCTAAACTTTTAAAATTTTATTTGTTTGAGAGACATGGTGAGAGTGGGGAAGGGGCCAGCAGAGGGAGAGAGGGAGCCCCAAGCAGGCTCCACACTGTCAGCACAGAGCCCAGCTCAGGGCTCGAACCCACAAACCGCAAGATCATGACCTGAGCAGAAACCGAGAGTCAATCACTTAACGGACTGACCCGCCCAGGCGTCCCCTGAAACAATACATCCTTCCAGAAGGAGTGAAAAGTATTTCCACGCATTCTGACAAAGAATCATCATGGTCCTAGTACACATCCAGCCCTCTTTTTGGCCTAAGAGAGACAAAGTTCTCACCCCATATGCCAGATTTTCAAGAAAGCTCTGTCCATTTGGAAGTAAGAAGAAACAGCCCTAGTTTCAACATTTCTTACAAGATCCCCTTTTAAAGTCCCTATCAGCACCCCCACAGGCTTCTGACCATTCTTCCCTGATCAGTGAGACTAGGAGCTTGGTGCATCCTAAGCTGCCTACCTTGGTCATCTACTCATTCCTACAGCACGTGATTGACAGCTCAAGGGAATGACGTGGCTGGTGGGCAGGCATAACAACATATATGTACCACACAAACACATGCATTTTGTATCCTATTTTTTTTTTTAATGTTTTATTTATTTCTAGGAGAGAGACAGCATGAGCAGGGGAGGGTCAGAGAGAGAGGGAGTCACAGACTGAAACAGGCTCCAGGCTCCGAGCTGGCAGTCAGCACAGAGCCCGACGCGGGGCTCGAACCCACGAACCGCGAGATCATGACCTAAGCGAAAGTCGGACGCTTAACCGACTAAGCCACCCAGGAGCCCCTGTATCCTATTTTCTTAACAACCTGTGATCTTGAGCATCTTTTTATGTGTTTTGGATTTTTTTTCTTTTAGCACTTTGAGTTTATCAATCTACTGCCTTCTGGTCTCCAAAGTTTCTGATGAGAAGTCTGCTGATAATCTTATTGAAGATCCCTTGTACGTGACAGTAATGCAGATCCCTGATGGTGGGAGGACAGGCTCTTTTTGCCCACCCTGGCTTCCTTCCACACGCCATGTGCAGGCTGTTCTAGCAACACATGCACAGTTACCTGCCATGTGGCTGGGGTGCACATGGGGGTGGGGGTGCAGGAGATGGGTAGCTGATACTGGGGTAAGAACTGACACTGACCGAAAGTCACCACAGTTTACCACCCAAGGCTTCCCGTGGAAGCTGCAAGCTTTCACCAGACTCCATGGTTCCAAAACAGATACATGCGACAGATTCACAGATTCTAACAGTGTAAGTGTCTAGATGGCAAGACAGTCCCCTAGTGCTGCCTACTCCACCATCTTCCCAGAATCCTCTCCTAGTTCAAAATAATTTTAACTTTGTTGTATGATTTCTTCCTTGACCCATGTGTTTTTTAGAAATGTGCTTAGTCTCTAAATGTGTGTTTAAGTTCTAAATATTTAGGGATTTTCCAACTATCTTTGTTATTGATTTCTACTATAACTCCATTGTGTTTTGAGAGTAGACTTTGTATGGCGTCTGTTATCATTATTATTTGTTGAAATAATGTAGTTGATGGTTTCTGTTTTAAAAAGATTAAGGTGTGTTTTGTGGCCCAGAAGGTGGTCTGTCTTTGCAAATGTTCCATGTGACCTTGAGAATTTGCATACCCTGCTGGTGGTGGATGAAGTAGGCCGTTGACTGCTGGTGCCGTTGAGTTCTATGGTGTCCGTCAACTTTTAATCAACATGTGTCTTTATATTTAAAGTAGGTTTCTTATAGACAACTGGTTTTGGTTTTGATCCACTCTGACAATCTCTGTCTTTGCACTGGGACATATAGACTGCTGATACTCAGAGGGATTATTGGTAGCACTGCAATGAGCATCCACCATGTTTGTTCCCATTTTCTCCTCACTTCCCTTGCTCTTTGTTCCTTTTTGTTTTCCACTCTATCTTTTGTGGGGGGGTTTTGAGAGAGAGAGAGAGAGAGAGAGAGTGCACAGAGGAGAGGGACACGAGGAGAGATAGAATCTCAAGCAGGCTCCGTGCTCAGCACAGAGACTGACGTGGAGCTCATCCCAGGACCCCAGGATCACGACCTGAGCCGAAATCAAGAGTCAGATGCTCAAGTAACTGAATCACCCAGGAGCTCCAGTCTTTTGTGATTTTGAGTATTTTATGTGATTCCATTTTGTCTCCTTAGCATATCAATTATACTTTTTTTTTAAATGGTTGCCCTGGATTTTGCAATATATATTCACGACCAACACAATTCCACTTTCAAGTAACACGGTACTTCTTCGCAGGGGGTGCAAGTGCCTTATAGTAACAAAGCATTCCGGATTCCTCCCACCTGCCCTTTTTCATCATGCTGTCATCCATTTACACATGAACTATAACTAAATGCATTGTTGCTATTATTTGCACAAACTAGTACCTATTACATCAGTTAGGAAAAATGAGCTTTTATCTTCACTTAGCCCTTCTCCTTCCTGTATGGAGATCTGAGTTTCTGACCTATATCATTTTCCTTCTCCCTCAAGAATTTACCAGTTCTTGCAAGGTAGGTCTATCAATGGCAAACTCCCTCAGTTTTTGAAGAAATCTTTATTTCTCCTTCGCTTTTGAAAGGAAATTGTGCAGGGTTCAGAATTCTAGGTTGATGGGTTTCTTCTCTCAACCCTTAAAATATTTCACTCCATGCTCTTCTTTCTTGTGTGGTTTCTGAAGAGAAGTCAAATTAATTCTTACCTTTGCTCCATCGTAGTGAAGGTGTTGTTTTTTGTTTTTTTTTTTTTTACTCTGGCTTCAAGACATTTTTATCATTGACATCTGCAGTTTCATGATATGCCTAAGCGTAGGATCTTTCTTTGGTTTGGTTTGGTTCGTTTGGCATTGATCCTGTTTGGTGTTCTCCGAGCTTCCTGGCTCTGTGGCTTGGTGTCTGACCAAGGGGAAATTCTGTCATTACTGTTTTAGGTATTTCTTACATTTCCTCCTGTCTTCTCCTTGGAGTATGACCATTATGTGAACGTTACATCTTTAACAACTGTCCCACAGTTTGGGGATATTATGTTCCTTTTTTTTTTTCAGTCTTTTTTTTCTTTGCTTTTTCAGCTTTAGAAATGTCCATGGTCATATCCTCATGCTGGGAGAGTCTTTCCTTAGCCGTGTCCAGTCTAATAAGCCCATCAAAGGCATCCTTCCTTTCTGTTCCAGCATTTGAAAGGTTTCTTAGAACTTCCACCTCTGCTTACGGTACCCTTTTGCTCTCGGCAGGCTGCTCTCCCTCCGTGAGAGCCCTTTGCATATTAACCACAGTTTTTTCCAAATTCCTGGTCTACTCATCCGGTATCCCTGAGGTGTCTGACTCTGGCTGAGATGCCTGCTCTGTCTCGTCAAACGATGCTTTTTGCCACCTAGCAGTCCTTGAAACTTCTTGTTGTTGAAAGCTGGACACCATGTACCAGGTAAAAGGAACCCAGTTCTGGTGCCACAGAGTCTCTGATAAACTGTGATTCTTTGTGTTCATTTGTGTCTGCAGCTTTGGGAGCAGTGGTTTACTCTGCAACTTCAATTCACTGAGAGATCTAAAAATAATTGCTTTTAGTTTTGTTCATCTTTTTACTTGTTAAGACAGAGTGGCTTAACTTCCAAGCTCCTTGCTGACAGACTAGAAGTCCTACACCTGTTTTTAAAATGGCAAATAATATAGAAATTAGCTAAACAGAAAGTCAAAGTTGTCCAACAAAAATAACCAACTAAAAGCCTGGTGTGCATTCTTCTGAGAATAGGGAGTCTTCTTCTAAGTTTCTGGAAACATACACACACGTGCTTTTACAAATGCTTTTTTAATTACTGACTTTGAGAGAGAGTGAGATAGAGCTTGAGTCCGGGAGGAGCAGAGAGAGGGAGACAGAGAATCCCAAGCAGGCTCCGCACTGTCAGTGCAGAGCCCAATGAGGGCCTGAACCCATGAACTGTGAGATCATGACCTGAGCCAAAATCAAGAGTCAGACACTTAACTGACTGAGCCACCAAAGCGCCCCTACAAATGATTTTTTAAATAAAAAATAGGATCCTATACAGACTACTCTACCACAGGATATCAGGGACACCTTTAGTACAGATATGGGTACAATACTCTTTTTTTTTTTTTTTGCCACATACTATTCCTTTATTTGACTTTGTATAAATTTAATCAACCCCTACTGAAAAGTATTAAATTTTAAGGAAGAAAGGTTACCAGTACAAATACCAACACACTGAATATCCTTTTACATATAATTTTGTCTACTTGTGCATTTCCATAGAATAAGTTTCTGTCGGTAGAACCACTGAGTTGATGGTTATATACGTTTTAATTTTTAATACATATTGCTGAACTGCTCTCCAAAATGGTTGTTCAACTTACATTCCCAAATCCGTGTTTAGAGATAGTATTCTCAATACTATCCCTGGATGCTTTTATTTAAATTTTTGACAATGATATCTTACTCTGTGTGTATGTGTTGTTTTTGCCAACAAGGCTAAATAATTTTCACGTTCATCAACCACTTCATCCCTTCTTTAGGAATTGCACATTTTTCACTAAACAATATTGGGGAGATTTATTTTTAAGAAGGGAAATTAGAGAATAATAAATTTAAACTATGGAAACCCTCAATCCTAGGTATTATTGTCCAAGTTATATGGCCCACAAGGAACATTCTCTTTTACTTCACATTCACCTGGCGAACACATCATCTGCTTGGAATCGAACTCTACAACGCTTGTGTCCTTTGGAGGGAGTAAGCTGGTGAGTCCGTGCCTCCCTGGTCTGTGCTGATGAGCAGGTGCTGTGCCGAACCGGCACACCCGGACTGGCTAGAGCTTTAGGAAAAGTCCTGGGCCCGCGTCTCAGCGCAGCAACCACAGAAGGGGCTGCTCAGCTTGGAAGGGGTTCAAAGGAGAGCCACAGTGTTGATTAAAGGGCTTGAAAAACAAGAACCATGAGGGATGGTTGAAAGAACTGTGATCATTCAGGCCTGAAAACAAGCGAAGGCCGGAGGGTAAATTAACAATGCAATTCCAATAAATAAAACTCTTACTTGGCAGATGGTGATTGGTTATTTTCTAAATGTGCTGAGGGCAGATGAAAAGAATCTGTGCGTTAGTATCAGAAATTTCATTTTATGTAAAGAAAATTTTCCTGAAAGGAATCAAATTCCCTCAGCGCCAAAGGCATTTGCCTAAGAGTAAATGTGCTGTTTGGGGGCAGAGGGGGGCGGTGAGTACTCTCTCTGGGTCGTAGATCACAATTTAATGCATTATTATCACCAAGAAAGATTACTGAGTATGGCAGGGGGTTGAGAGCCAGTGAGAGACCGGGATGAGGCGGGCCTGCTCTTGAAGGGGGGTGGGTGGGGAGAGCTGGAGAGGAGGCAGGGACACACAAGGCAAAAGTAGAGCGGAGCTGTTTTAAGAATGTTTCTTTTCACTGTTTGTACAGCGGATTCACTTAGAGATTCGAGTTGGACAACATGACCTTGATGCAGCTGTTGCTCAAGCGAAGGACAAAGTTAATGAAGTTAGCTTTAAGCTGGGACATCTAATTGAGCAAATTGAGCAAATAGTCAAAGAACAAAACTATCAAAGGGTCAGTCTGCCCATTCAGCTCATTCTCTCTCTTCCTGCCAGGAACGCAGCCCTGGAGACAAAGCCCCCGGAAAGCACTGCGGAGAGTAACCTGCCTGCTCCTCAGTCCTCCTCTGGGAGCTAGCACTGTGGGGACACTCAGGGTGAAGGGAGAGAGCAAGCTCTCACGACCTTTTCACTGCGGCTCATTCGCTTTTGGAGTGTGAGCTGACAGAATGAACCAATAAACGCTCCCAAACATGCCCCACATACATGACGAGGCTCAGTTCTGTTCTTGGGACACTGGGTGTTTTCCGGGTCGCTGTGCTCAGTGGACTCTGGTCAGACACGGGGTCAGATCTGCCCCCGTGCTCACCTGGTGTCGTCTCCAGACTCCAGCTGCCTTACCTGGAAAATCGGACCAGGGCAGGTGTGCTTGACGCAGCGCCCAGCTGACGATGAAAGGCTGCACTACTGGCTGACACACACTTTGCCCAATGCTGGGAAATAAACGTACAAGATAATGGATCGAACAGTCTACATCAAAATACAAAAATATGCTTTATAAGGTTGATTCTTAGTCCTTGTGTTAAGCTAAAACTTACCCTGGCTTAATCAGATACTGCACTTTGGGATGAGACTGGGAAATATGAAACATCTTCAAAGCATATAGCACCTTCCCCTCGAATTCATACATTAAATACTTTAAGAAACTAAACCTGCCTATTTCTCTTCTACATAGGACCGTGAAGAAAATTTTCGAATGACCAGTGAAGATACAAATAGCAATGTTCTATGGTGGGCTTTTGCACAAACATTAATCTTTATCTCAATCGGAATTTTCCAAATGAAACACCTTAAAGACTTCTTTATAGCTAAGAAACTTGTTTAAGATGCTAACAAAGGAAACTGCTTGCTGATTTGCATAATGTTTGGTTAATAAATCAATATGCATTCATAACCAAGTATTGCTTTTATGATTTCAAAGATTATCAGAGGTTGAAATTAATGTTACAGCATCATAGCAGTGATAAAATATTACTGTAACAATGTGGCGTCTGAGTTTGATAGAATAAGCACATGGTCCAGTTCTTTAACTTGGTATAGAGCAACACTGTCCAGGAGAAATGTGAGCTACATATGTAAATTTTAAGTTTTCTCGTTCCCACATTTAAAAAGGGAGCTTTTTTAGAAAGGTAAAATTAACCCCGGTGATAGTTAACCCAAAACATCAAAAATTATTACCATTTTAATATGTAAACAGTCCAGAATTGAGGTAGTTTATGTTTCTTTTTTAGTTTTTTTTTAATTTCTTTAATGTTTATTTATTTTGAGGGAGAGAGAGACAGTGTGGGGGGGGGGTCAGAGAGAGAGAGGGAGACTCTGAAGCGGCTCCAGGCTCTGAGCTTTCGGCACAGAGACCGACGCGGGGCTCGAACTCATGAGTCTCGAGATCAAGTCAGATGCTTAACCCACTGAGCCACCCAGGTGACCCTACATTCCTTTTTTTTTTTTTCCTAATGTTTATTTATTTATTTCTTTATTTTTTTAATATTTTTATTTATTTCTAGGAGAGAGAGAGAGAGAGAGACAGCGTGAGCAGGGGAGGGTCAGAGAGAGAGGGAGTCACAGACCGAAACAGGCTCCGGGCTCTGAGCCGGCAGTCAGCACAGAGCCCGACGCGGGGCTCGAACCCACGAACCGCGAGAGCATGACCTGAGCGAAAGTCGGACGCTTAACCGACTAAGCCACCCAGGCACCCCTGTTTATTTATTTTCGGGGGAGGCACAGAATCCGAGTCAGCAAAGAGCCGCCCCCCCCCCCCCGTGGGCCTTGAACCCACAGCCCACAAGATCATGACCCGAGCCCAAGGTGGCCCCTCGGCCGACTGAGCCCCAGGCGCTCCCCCATGTTCCTTTTCTGCTACGAAGTCTTGGTGACCCAAGCGTATTTTACACTCAAAGCACATCTCACTGCGCACCAGTCACTCTCAAGGGCTCAGCGGCCGCATACATTCACGGCCACGGCCACGGCCACGGCCCTGCATGAAGGGGGCGCACCCGCCCGACTCCCGCGCCCCACCCGGAGCGCCATCCCGAGGCTCGGCCGCTTCTTTCCCTGAAAGACGGCCCAGGGCTCTCCGAACCGGGTCCCACACCGGCGTCACCGGCGTGCAACTGTGAAACAGCTGTTTCTTCAGCTTTCGGCTCTCAAAGAGGACTCCCTCGAGGGCGCAGACAGAGTCCAGGCAGCCCCCCTCGCTGCTCCGGAGGGAAACCACCTGCCCCGGAAGAGCGGCGGCGGCCGCGAGCTGCGCGGGCCCGTCCACCAAGCGGCCCCGCCCGGGGCCGCCCTGTCCCCCCTCGGGGCCCCGGCCCCCCGCACCACGGAGGCCGCGGCGACCCCACGCGCGCCCCGCCTCGCCCACCCGACGCTCTGCGCCTGCGCCCGCCCAGCGCGCCCACGCGGGCGCCAACGGGGGCCGCAGCACCGGCTCGGGGCCTGGGGCGGGACGCTCGGCTCCGCGGAAGGCCTGGCCAGGGTTGCGGAGGCGGAACGAGGGAGGCCAGGCCCCGGCGCGCAGGCCCCTCCTTCCACGCCCGGCAAGACGGCCCGCGCGGAGAAGACCCTACCGCCCCCGCCCCCCGGGTTGGTTCGTTCCCGCGCGGGGTTTGGCGGGAGCGGGCTGCTCTCCGCGCAGGCGCGGGGCTGCAGGCGCGCGTTCGCGCAGGCGCCGCGGGGCCGCCGTCCGCCGGCGGGTCGGGGGGCCGCGCGGGCGCGGGGTCCGGCATGGCCGGCGGGGTCTTCTGTAATTGCTGCTTCCAGCCGCCGCTCCGGACGTCGTGCTTCAGCCTGACCAGCTGCGGCCACGTGTACTGCGACGTCTGCCTGGGCAAAGGTGAGGCGGGCGGGCCCCGGGGCCGGACGGCGGGGCGGGCCGAGGTGCCCCGCTCCTTCACGAGCCTCGCGGGCGCAGACAGCAGGACGCTGGGCGGGCGGCTGTAGTGGCCGTGGGCAGAGGTCGCCGAGGCCGCAGGCGTCAGCCCCGGGAGTACGCTCTCCCCGCCCTTTCGGAAGGCGGGTGAAACTGGGCGCTGCCTCCAGGATGCCTTCCGGCGCCAGCGCTGGGCCCCAGGAGGCGCGTCCTCACCTGGCATCAAGGGGGGGGGTGTGTGGAGCCAGAGCCTGCGGGCGGGGCAGGGGTTGGGAGTCAGCCCAGGCAGAGGTAACCCCGAGTGCAGAGATCCTGGGCTGGAGGGAAGTGTGGACAGGCCCGAGGAGCTGAGGGTGCTGGTGGAGTCGGCAGAGGTGTGCTGCAGGGACCCCCCCCCCCCCAATTCTCCGAGCAGTGGGAAACCACTGGTTTTAAGCAGGGTGGTGAGTGATCGGAGGCATGTCTTTTCTTTTTATGAGATTTTTTTAAAGTTTATCTATTTTGAGATCGAGCGCAAGCCGGGTGGGGGCAGAGGGGCAGGGAGAGAGGCAGAGAGAATCCCAGGCAGGTAGCACGGAGCCGACACAGGGATGGAACTTACATTCGAGAGATCGTGACCTGAGGCCAGTTCAAGAATCTGACGCTCAGCCATCCAGAGGCCCCTTTTTTATCAAAATGTTAACTTGAAGTACAAAGAAAAAGTCACGAGTACAAGGCACAAGCGTTTTTACAGAGTGAATTTACCTGTGAAACCAGCTCCCGGGTTAAGAGAGAACATCACCACCTTCTCAGAAGCCACGTCAGAGAGAAACACCAACCCCATGTCTGTCTCGTGGGTCATCTTGGGTGACTTGAAAGCATGCAGCTCGGCCCTGTCTCCGTCTGGCTGCTGTCATTCTCCGGTACACAGGGAGGTTGGCTTGTGTATTTGGGTGCGGGTGCGTTCGGCCCCCTCACCTCTGGGTGTCCGCCACTGTGTGCCGCACCCGCATTCGTTTGTCAGCTCCACTGCTGCCGGGCGTTTGGTGGTGCCCAGCTGCTCCCTGTCACGGATCGTGCCCCCGGAACGCCCCGCTCGGGCCTCTGGGTGGGCGTAGGTACGCATTCCTCCTGGGGCTGTATCTGCAGTGGGGCTGCCGAGCCCACGTGTGTGTTTGGAAAGCCCGTGGCAGCTGGGTGACGCGGTGATTGGGCGGAGGCAGGACCTGGGCAAGAGGCCGTGCGGTTGAGCACGTGAGCGACGATGGCGCTGTGGGGCTGGAGGGACGCAGCTTGGTCCCTGGTGGAGTGCGGGCCCGGTTAGCACCATGGTCTTCATCGCTGTGCAGAGCGCCGAGGAGACCCAGCCAGCTCCCAGGGAGGTTCAGGGGCTCACACCGGACACGGAGGTTCTGGTGAGAGGCGTCCGGGGCGGGGGGAGCCTGTGCGGTGTGAGTACTTGGGGCTGGGTGTCAGGACAGCCAGGAATACGCTGGGAAGCAGCATGTGTCTAGTAATCGAAGATACTGGAGTGAGGGTGGAAGGCGGAGGGAGCCAGAACCTGGTGTCACCTGGGAGGAGCATTTCTTAACGACGTGTGGCGGTCGGAGGAGGCTGTGGAAGAAGAGGAGGCAGAGCACGTAGGACCTGGTGTCCCGGGGCAGAGTCAGAATTGGAGCCTCCCGGGACGCAGTGGCGTGGTGGCTGAGCTGGGGTGAGGTCAGTGGAGACAGGTGCCTGTCCTGAGCCGTGGGGGACTGGTCCGGGGCCTCAGGCAGGGCGACTCCCAGCAGACTGAAGCCTCAGGCCGAAGCACATTCCGGTGGCTCCAGGTCATTCCTCCAAAAAGCCGCAGGTGCTGGGACACACAAAAAACAAAACAAAAAGATAATGGAAAGAACTGAGGGTGCTGGGTGGAGCACTGGCCCTAGCTCCCTAGCTATTCGGTGACCTTAGTCCTTAGGCTTCGGCATATTTCCTTCCAGACTTTTCCCTACAGATACAGGTTTTTAAAACAAAAACGGGCGCCTGGGTGGCTCAGTGGGCTAGGCGTCTGATTTTGGCTTAGGTCAGGATCTCACAGTTTGTGAGTTCGAGCCCTGCTACCAGCCCGCTTCACATTCTCTTCTCTGTCCCCCCCTCTCTCTGCCCCTCCCTCCCTCCCTCTCAAAAATAAATCAACGCTAAGAGAATTTTAACGGTATTGCGTGTATACCATTCAGTTACCTGCACTGACTGATAGGACATGGATCTCTTTTCATGTTAAACGAAGTCTGTGTCATCGTTTCTAAGGCTGCATAGTATGTCTTCTAGTTGCCCTACCAAGACTGACTGACTGCTTCCCTAGTAAAAGCCGTGTGTGTTTTCTAATAGTAGCTGTTAAGCCCCACTCGTTCATTGTGTGGCTTTCTCCTTTGGGCGTATGTGCGGGTGGCGGTGCCTCGCTGGGCTGTGCCCACCACAGCCGACACTTAGCACCAGCCCTTCCAGAAAGGGCTGAGCTGCGGCCCTCGCACCCATGCCCTGGGTTTTCTTTTCATACAGTATTGGCCGTCTGTGCTTTGGCCGACTGCGCTCACACCGTTTATTGGAGCACTTCGTGGGTTAGTGGGCACGTCTTTGTGTTAAGTATGAGCGCAGCTTGCCTGTCCGCCAGCTGTCGGGTTTCCCACTTCCCCTGCTCTCAACGCTACTCGCGGTTTTAGGCGTCAGCTCTGTTAACCTTGGGCTCCGCGGCTTCTGGCTGCAGCGGTGCTCAGGGGGGATTCTGTGCTCCAGAACCCACAGTGGCGACGTGGGGCACAGGAACGTACTGCCAGGGCTGGATGTTTCAGGGAAGGGCGACTTGAGCGTGTTTGTAGGGACAGGAAGGGGCAGCTCGGGGCCACTGGAAGGGAGCCCACTCTTTCTCTACAAGGACCCTCTCCCCTGTGCTGCGGGGATGAGACGAGACAGGAAGGGGGCAGAGTGGCTTGGGTTGTTCCGTGGCAGGTGACTGGAGGAGAGGCAGGGGAATCGAGCGAGGTCAGTGGGGGGTGTGGGGCTTGTGTGAGCCCCCCCCCCCACAGGGAGCTGGCGGGGCCCCCGAGAAAAATGGATGGTTGCCCGGCAGTGTTGCGGGGTCATCAGTGTTGGAATCCACAAGTCTGTGAATCCGCTTCCCCGTGAAGTGATGTTTTTCCTGGTTCGTAGCTGCACTGGACCAGAAGAGGGGGAGAAAGATAGGCCGGCGTCCGGGCTGGGTGTGCTGCTCGGAAGGGCGAGGACTGCAGTAGTGACCGGCCAGCTCTGGGCTCCGGGCTGCTCTGTGGGAAAGTGAGGCTCTGACATGTGGGGTTGGGGCCGAGCCGGGGCCGAGGGGCCTGCTGCTGCCGCTGACTGACGTGGGTGCAGGCCCGGAAGCGCTGAGGTCAGTGGAGGTGTCCCGGTGGGAACAAGCGGGTCACTGGGGGCCCCGGATGGGCGCAGCTGAGTCCGCTGCCGCTGGCAGGTGGGAAGTGCGAGGTCTCGGTCCCGGCGCTGCCACGCCACGCAGGTGGCCGGAGCTCAGCAGGTGCAAAGTCCTCTCCCAGTGAGCGGGCTCTGGTGTCGCAGAGGTGAGGCTGCGGGGGCAGAACAAAGCTCTGACTTCATCTGCTGGGTGGGGTGCCAGGAGCTACTTTCATTTTGAATAGTTAGCCATCGTTCGTTAGGATAGCACTACAACAGCCAGCGGTGAGAGATCTGGGACGCACTTGAGTATTGTTGATCCTCATAGTCACTATTTTGGGGCAGTTCTGCAAGGCAGGAAAAGGTGGATTGTTCGCTGCATTTCCAGCTCTGGCCACGTGCATTGTCACGACTGAACGTGGAAAATGCAGATGCTACTAGTGAAGAAAGATTGTAATTTGCATCTGTGTCTCCACATGTTCAGAAGCAATACCCACTATGACATAGTAAAGTGTGCTTTTCTTTCACAGGTAGAAAGGGCGAGTGCTTGATTTGTAAAGTGCCCTGTCGCACACTTTTACTTTCGGAACAGGTAAGTTCAAATATGTGTTGTCTGAACGTTAATCAGTATTTTTTTTAAATTTGAGATTCAGTAATAGTCATTTGAGGTGTTTGAAGATTTTTTCATTTTGTTAGGTTAATTAAAAGGTCTTACAGGATTTCTGAGTAAAGTACAGTTAGGGTTTGGTTTTGAATACCTAACACAGCTTTCTTTCTTGCCCGTACACTGGCCCTGTTTGTAGTTTGCCGCTGTGTTCCGGGAGGTAAAGGTGAGGTGAATAGGGGTCCTCAGCACAATACGGGCCCCTGAAGAAGGTGACCAAGGTTTGCTCTCCCGGGGGTTCATACCGAAGAAGAGGGCTGGAGGAAAGTCCGTTCAAAGTGGGTCACCGTCGCAGTAGGCTTGAAACAATGACTTGCTCTCTCTTGAAAATACATCAGTTTAACTTGTTTGGGTTAAACCTAGTTGTAAATGATCATTCTCTTTATACGTAGGTTCTAAGATATGTATGTGATTGGATGTTTTAAGCTACAACAGTTGTTTTTTTCTGATTACAAATACAATACAATGTCACAAAAAAACTAAAACGATACAGTAAATCACAGTGGAGAAGCTGAAGGTCCCTCAAATCCTGTTTCCCACAGATGTCAGCAGCCGGAGCGCCGCTCCTACCGGGTGTGTTACTGTGATTTATCTCTTTACGGATGGAACGGTGTCTTCTCAGTTAACTTTATACTGTCCCCACACCCACACACTCTAAAAACACTGCATCGTGTTTCAGTATTTTCCTACTGGCAAAACCGTGTCAGTATTTTCCTACCGGGGGGTTTTAGTTTTTCCAATAGTATTACAGCCAACAGTTTTTACCATGTCTCTGAGTATCTTTAAGAATATTTCTATAGTGGGGCGCCTGGGTGGCTTAGTCGGTTGAGCGTCCGACTTTCGCTTAGGTCATGATCTCGCGGTTCGTGGGTTCGAGCCCCGCGTCGGGCTCNTCTTTCTGTTGGACGTGCTATGGAACTTTCACAAGTGTATAATGACATGCATCCGCCATTACAGTATCATTCAGAATAGTTTCATTGCTGTAAAAATCCCCCATACTTTACTCATAGCTATCATTTAAAAAATTCCTTTTCTGGGGCACCTGGGTGGCTCAGTCGGTTAAGCGTCCGACTTTCGCTTAGGTCATGATCTCGTGGTTCGTGGGTTCGAGACCCGCGTTGGGCTCTGTGCTGACTGCCAGCTCAGAGCCTGGAGCCTGTTTCAGTCTGTGACTCCCTCTCTCTCTGACCCTCCCCTGCTCACGCTGTTTTTCTCTCTCTCTCTCTCCTAGAAATAAATTAAAAAATATTAAAAAAAAAAAAGAATATTTCTATAGCATAAATTCCTAGAAGTGGAAAAATAAGGTCAAAGATTTTAAGTGTTTGATAGAAAGTGCCTTATTTCCTTTAAGAAATGTACAGGTTTACCTCAGTGCTCTTCTCATTTGTATTTCCCTGATGATAAGTGATGTTGGGCATCTTTTCATGTGTCAGTTGGCCATCTGGATGTCTTCTTTGGAGAAGTGTCTATTCATGTCTTTTGCCCATTTCTTCACTGGGTTATTTATTTTTTGGGTGTTGAGTTTGGTAAGTTCTTTATAGATTTTGGATTCTAACCCTCTATCTGATGTGTCATTTGGAAATATCTTCTCCCATTCCCTCGATTGCCTTTTCGTTCTTCTGATTGTTTCCTTCGCTGTGCAGAAGCTGTTTGTCTTGATGAGGTCCCAGTAGTTCGTTTTTGCTTTTGTTTCTCTTGCCTCTGGAGACACGTCAAGTAAGAAATTGCTGCGGCTGAGGTCAAAGAGGTTGCTGCCTGTTTTCTTCTCTACGATTTTGGTGATTTCCTGGCTTACACATAGGTCTTTTATCCATTTTGAATTTATTTTTGTATATGATGTAAGAAAGTGGTCTAGTTTCATTCTTCTGCATGTCGCTGTCCAGTTTTCCCAGCACTGTTTGCTGAAGAGACTGTCTTTATTCCATTGGATGCTCTTTCCTGCTTTGTCAGAGATTAGTCAGCCATACAGTTGTGGGTCCAATTCTGGGTTCTTTAACACTGGTCAAAGTGGCTTAAACTAACAACTCAGCAACAACAGATGTTGGTGAGGATGTGGAGAGAGGGGAACCTTCTTTTTTTTTTATATATTTTTATTTATTTCTAGGAGAGAGAGAGAGAGAGAGAGAGAGCGTGAGCAGGGGAGGGTCAGAGAGAGGGAGACACAGACTCTGAAATAGGCTCCAGGCTCTGAGCTGGCTGTCAGCACAGAGCCCGACGCGGGACTCGAACCCACGAACCGTGAGATCACGACCTAAGTGAAAGTCGGACGCTTAACCGACTAAGCCACCCAGGCGCCCCTAGAGAGGGGGACCTTCTTGCACTGCTGGTGGGAATGCAAACTCGTGCAGCCACTCTGGAAAACAGTATGGAACTTCCTCAAAAAATTAAAAATAAAACTACCCTATGACCCAGCAATAGCACTACTAGGAATTTATCCAGAGGATACGAGTGTGCTGATTCACAGGGCCACATGTACCCCAATGTTTATAGCGGTGCTATGAACAATAGCCAAATTATGGAAAGAGCCCAAATGTCCATCAGCTGATGAATGGATAAAGAAGATGTGGTTTGTATACATAATGGAATATTACTCAGAAATGAAAAAGAATAAAATCTTCCCATTTGCAACAACGTGGATGGAACTAGAGGGTGTTACACCAAGTGGAATAAGTCCGTCAGAGAGACAGGTCTCCTGTGTTTTCACTCATATCTGGAATTTGAGAAGCTTAACAGGAGACCATGAGGGAAGGGAGGGGAAAAAAAGTAGTTACAGAGAGGGAGGGAGGGAGGCAACCATAAGAGACTCTTAACTACAAAGACCAAACTGATGGGGGGGGCAGGAGGGGAAGTGGGGGATGGGCACGGAGGAGGGCACTTGTGGGGAGGAGCACTGGGTGTTGTACCTAAGTGATGAATCACGGGAATCTACCCCCAAAGCCTAGAGCACACCGTACACACTGTATGTTAGCTAACTTGACCATAAGTTGTACTTTAAAAAAAAAAAAAAAGACAAAGCTTTCAGAGAACTTTGAAAAGGAGATAAGCAGATAAACAAATGATTATTAAAATGAACAATTAAAAGTAAGAACATGAAGGGGCACCTGGGTGGCTCATCGGTTAATCATCCGACTTTGGCTCAGGTCACCGTCTTGTAGTCCGTGGGTTCAAGCCCTGCTCTGGGGTCTGCTGACAGCTCAGAGCCGGGAGTTGCTTCAGATTCTGTGCCTCCGCCTCTCCCTCTGTCCCTCCCCAGCTCACACTCTGTCTCTCTCTCTCTCAAAAATAAATATTAAAAAAAAATTTTTTAAAGACATGAAAAAAAACACAAAAAGAAACGTGCGGGTTTAAGCCCTCAGCCATGCGGCCAGGCCTGCGGTCAAGGAGGCACCCCAGCTGCCTCCACCCGCTTGGCCCACACGCTCGGTTCATGCGGCTTCTGGCATGTTTGCGAACACCTGTGCTTCAGACTGTCCGTGTTTTCTGTGGGCTGCTGTTCGGCACCACTTTGAGTATCATTTTTACCTTTTCTAAGTAGTCTCTCATTTCTTTTACCTTCCCTTTCAACTCAAGAATTATTTGGGAGAATATTCCTTAATTTCTAAGAGGTTAGACTTTATCTCCTCTCTCGTTTTTGTAGAAAACTTTTCACTTTATGCCTTTGTGACCAGAGAATATGGCCATAAGCTTTCTTTTTTTAATTGTCAAGATTTTCATTGTCTTTTTTTTTTTTTAATGTTTTTTATTTATTTCTGAGAGAGAGAGACAACGTGAGCAGGGGAGGGTCAGAGAGAGGGGGAGACACAGAATCCAAAACCGGCTCCAGGCTCTGAGTCAGCTGTTAGCACAGAGCCCGACGCGGGGCTCGAACTCACCAACTGTGAGATCACGACCTGAACCGAAGTCGGACGCCCAACCAACTGAGCCACCCAGGCGCCCCTATTGTGTCCTAACACGTGGTAGTTGTTAATGTTCTCCAGATGCTGACAAAGTACATGCTTGTTTGTTCCGGGCGCGTGTGCGTGAGTGAGGCTGTTCACCGCGCCGGGGCTGCTCCTGGCCGCTCCCTCCCGCGTACCCGCGTTCGGGGGCCCGTGTCCTCCGTTCCGCTGCCACCGTGACACCTACGAACCGTTCTTCCTGCCCTCCCTCCTGCTTGCTAGGATCTTCTCCCTCCATAGCCAGAGCGGTCCGCACACATGGGTCATGTGTCCCGGCTTTCTGGGAGTAAAACCCAAGTCCCCTCGTGCCTGTGGCTCTGGGGCCTGGCCTCTGGGGGACACCCGGGCCCCTGGCCAGCGAGCCTCACCTGCCACCGCGCCTGGAGCCAGGTGTTTCCGCCTCCCCATCCCCCAGCCGTTAGGTCTCTGCCTGCAGTTCTGCGTGACTGTGGTTTCTTCGGCCTGTGGCAGGAAGGACGCTTGGAAACGTGACACGGTGTGTGTATTTGGGTGCACACGCGGCTGCGCGAACTACGTCTCACAGAACAGCACACACCCTTGTGAAGACAGTGCGCCCGTGGCTTCTGTTCTGACCGGCTTTGTCAGCGCCAGACGCAGTGTCGCAGGCGAAGCCGGGCTGCGGGCTGCGTACGGAGCCGCCCGCTCCTTCTGCTCCACACGCAGGGCACCACCTGACTTGTATTTGTTGCTCTTTGTCCCTGGGAAGGGCCTTATGTATCAGGGGCTGGGAGACCGGGGCCGGGGAGCCCGCGGGGACCTGGGAGAGGCGTCCGGGACGGAGTCTCTGGTGAACGCAGAGCAGAAAGGTGTGCGGGTGAGAAGGGGTTGCCCTCGGGCTGGAATTGGCTGCTTCTCCAGCGGAGACGCAGGGGAGCCGCCGCAGTGGGGAGCCCCGGGGCCTGGAGGAGCCAGCGGCGTCCGGACTCCGGGGTGAGGGCACGGGGCCCTCTTCCGCACACCCGCTTCACTTAAGGCCCCGGGGAGCCCTGGGCAGAGTCGGGGGCTGGAGGCGGCCAGACCAGAGGCTCCCCTGGCAGCAGAGTCCTGGCGAACGACTGTGAAGGTGGCCGCACCGCAGGAGCCCCAGGACGCCCCCCACAGGGTCCCATGACTGCCGTGTTCTCTTGCCTTCCCCTGACGTCTGAGGGGCGCATTCAGCTGTGCTAGCCCGGGCCGCAGGTCGGAGGTTGCTCACGGTGGGGATGGCCTGGGTCCTAGGCCGCAGCCTGAATCGGGACCTGGAGGGCATGACCTCAGCAAGGACCAGGGTTTCGGGCATTTCAGGGATGGCCTTTCTGCAGGCGGAAGAGAGAAGTGGACACCGGCCGCTGGAACAGCACCCTGGCCTGTCTGGGCGTCGTCTCTGGCCCTGCTCTCCTTTCTGGGTCCCCAGCCAGACTCAGTCTCCCCACCTGCCCCTCACCCCCCACTCTGTCAAGCGGCTGGTGACCCAGCGAGCAGAGCAGCTGGTTTCCGAGTGGAAGGCCGTCCGTGGAGCACAGCCGTCCGCCAGTGTGCGGGTGGGAAACAGGTGACCCCTTAAGTTAGCGCCTCAGTGTGATTCTGGAATCAGCTTGTTAGTTTCCACACACACGAAGCCCTGTCCCCTGTTGGGTTTGCACTTCATCGATAACACAGGCAAACTGATACACAAGCACCCCTGCAGCGTGGACTCGAGACCGCAGCATGGCACAGCGCCGTTCGCTCAGATGTGCGCTGGCTTCAGTAGTGCTTTCCGGTACCGAGGCTGCGTGCCGCGGGTAGCGTCGCCCTCGGTGCTGAGGCTTTGAGACACAACTATACTCATTTTCTAAAATTTCATTTCTTACCCGCTTGTTGTTGGTGTGTAAAGATCAGTTGGTTTTGTTTATGAACTTCTACCTGGTGACCGTGCTGAATTCACTTGATAACATGCTGCTGGCTGATCTGGAGTCTTCTGGAAGCCCTGTACACAGCCACGTCATCTCCAAATGCGTGTTTTCCGTGTTGCCCCTCCCTCTCTTTCCCTGTGCCCTCTCCTCCCTGCGCAAGCAGCAAGGGGACATGGGTGACCACAGGCGTGCTTTGTCTCCTTCTGATTTCAGGCTCGAGCTTCCAGCGGGTCACCACGGAGTAGTCATGTGAGCCCTGGGTTTCTTACTGAGGGTTTTCATTTTATCTTTCTACTTTATTTTGTTCATGTGGTAGATTGCATTTATTTTTAGGCTTTTAAACTCACAGTAGAATTTCAAATACTGCAAGTTGGTTGTGGTGGAGTATAGCTTGTCTATGTAGATGAATTTGGGTTTTGTGCACCTGTGTTCATGTGAGAACTGACCTGTGATTTTCCTTTCTTACATGCCCTTTTCAAGTTTTGGTGAATTGAGGTTTTGCTGGCTTCATAAAAGGAGTTGGAAATTCTTTCAAATTCTCTTTTCTGGAAGATTTTTTTAAGATTGGGGTTATTCAGAGAATGGCAAAATTCATGTGTGACACTCTTTGATCCTAGAAGGCTGAGGAGGTTTTCAACTACTGTTTAATTTTTTTTAATGTTTGTTTATTTTTTAGAGACCGAGCGAGTGTGGGGGAGGGACAGAGAGGAGGGGGGAGACAGAGAATCCGAAGCAGGGTTCACCCTGACAGCAGTAAGCCCGACGCGGGGCTCAAACTCATGAACAATGTGATCATGACCTGAGCCAAAGTCGGACGCTCAGCTAACTGAGCCCCCCAGGTGCCCCAGTAGGGTTTAGTTAGGTATGAAACTATTCAGAGTTCCTAATTCTTGGGTCAGCTTAAGTAAGTTGTCTTTTTCTAGGAATTTGTGCACTTCCTCTGAATTTTGAAATTTCTCATCATCCACACGTCTCCAGTCATCTGTACTTTCTGTGTCTGTGAGGTCTGTAGTGATGTCCCTTTTTTGTTGCCTTCTCTTTTTTCTTCAATAGTCTCACCTGGTTTTATGGACTTTTATCAGTGTTCTCAGATGTTTTGGCTCTGTCATCACTTTACTTTTGTTCTCAACTTTGTTCTCTTTATCGTTTCCCTTTTCTTTTATCTTTGGGTTTAATTTGTTCTTTAAGATAGTTGCTTACAGGGGCGCCTGGGTGGCTTAGTCGGTTAAGCGTCCGACTTTCGCTTGGGTCGTGATCTCACGGTTCGTGGGTTCGAGCCCCGCGTCGGGCTCTGTGCTGACTGCCAGCTCAGAGCCTGGAGCCTGTTTTAGTCTGTGACTCCCTCTCTCTCTGACCCTCCCCTGCTCACGCTCTCTCTCTCTCTAGAAATAAATTTAAAAAAACCTTAAAGAAAAAAAAAAAAGATAGTTGCTTACATCCACCTCTAGTCTCTCCCTTCCGATACTTATGTTATGAGGTTATGGTGCTTCTCTGTTCATCATTGTCTGAGTTTATGCATTTGGCTGTGTTATATTTTTGTTATCTCTCACTTTGAAATAATTTGAAATTTTTACTTGATTACTCCTGTGACCTGTGTGTTTTCTGAAACTATATTGATTAGTTTAGAACTATTTGGGGATTTTTAGTCGTTGTTTTTACATTTATTCAAGTCTAATACAGAAGAATGCACAAGTGTGGGTACACGGCTGTGGGAATTGTTTGTGACCTGAGCATCAGACCAGGGCAGCATTTGTTTCCATGATCCCAGAGACTGCGGTGTGCCCTTGGCCTTCCAACGTGAAGTAGACTTCCTGCCAATGCAAGGGTCTCAGACACTTCCGCCACCTTTGTCCCCCCTTCCCGTCATGCTGTCAGCGCGTGGTTTAGTTCTGCCTGTGCGGAGCCCCACGGGACAGTGAGTGTGTGGTCACCAATCTGACCTTGGGTCACCCTACAGTCCCCTTCCCTCATGCTCCTCACTTGCTCCTGAACCTGCTTGTTCCCACCGAGGAACCCTTTCCTCCCTGAAGGCCGTGGCTTCTGTTGGTGACCCATTCTGGTTCTCGTTCGTCTGAAAAAGACCTCTTTTTTTGTCTCCATTTTGAAGCATATTTTCCCTGGGCTTAGAATTCTTTAGGGGCACCTGGGTGGCTCCATCGGTTAAGCGTCCTACTTCAGCTCAAGTCATGACCCATTGGTTCATGAGTTCGAGCCCCACAGTGGGCTCTGTGCCGACAGCCTGGAGTCCACTTCAGATTCTTTGTCTCCCTGTCTCTCCCCAACTTGTACTCTACACCTCTCTCTCTCTCTCTCTCTCTTAAATAAACATTAAAAAAAAAAGAGTTCTTTAATGGAAATTAATGTTTTTTGATGCTTTGACTATATTTCTCTGTTGCTTGTCTTGTTCCGCAGTTGGCTCTCCCATGTGTGGCAACGGTTGTCTGCATACTTGTCCCACTTGGCTTCTCAGAGATTCCACAGCCTGTGCAGTGAGCTCATTCGTTAGCCTGGAGAGCCCTCGGCTGCACTGTCTCCACGCCCCCCACGCCCCTCCACGCCCCCCCCGTGACCCTCCACGACCCCCTGTGCCCCTTCACGCCCCCCACGCCCCTTGGGGACTCCATCACGTGTAGAATGATGGACTCCTGTCACAGAAGGCAGTGGACCCTGACTGATCAGTGACAGCCTTTCCAAGTGCTTTCATTTCTGGTCTGCGGAGCCATTCATCTTGTTTGGGGTCGTCTGTGTGTGTGTCTTTGCATAACAGGCACGGTCCCCACTTGCTGAGCACCTGGCCCAGCCAACCTCTGTTGGGGACACTTCTGCCCTTTTGTTCTCCCGCGCCCCGCATGGCGTTTGGGGAGGGCGCCTCACTCGGGAGATAGCGGCTGGGAGGTGTTGGGCCAGGTGCTGGGGCGGCGGGTCTGGCTGGTGCCGGCAGGGCCCCTCCCCGTGGGCCCCCCCCCGTGGGCCGTGCTGCCCCACCTTGCAGCGGTCCGTCCAGGTGGCAGCGCGCAGGTCCTTCGCCGCACTCCCGCCGGGGAGTGGCCCCCTTACCTTCCAGAGCCAGGCCTGCTCCCAGCCCCGTGCCGTCTCCCCCAAAGGCCCCCCCTTGAGGAGCAAGCCCCAGTCTCTGCTGCTCCTCTGAGTCATTTCATGGTCACTCACCGCAGCTCGCGGGCACATCCTGACGCTCGTGACTTGCTTAGGGCCCAGACCGAGGAGCGGACGGGGAGGACGCGGGAGGCGCCTCCTGCACCTTCTGGCTCCCGTGCGCGCCCCCACCCGGGCTCTGCTGTGCCGCACGCTGCCCTCCCAGAGTCCTGCCGCAGGGCAGCCGTTGCCGGGGCGGAGGCAGGGCACGTCTGCGCGGCGGCGTCAGTCGCAGGCGCGGTTTCTTCGGCGCTTTCGCTTGTTTTCTGTCACTCAGCGCGTTCTTGTGATGAGTTCGCTGCGCGCGGCGGCTTTCACCTTCTTCCGAGCTCCGTGCATCTTCTCTGCTTGGCTTTCACCCCTGCCTCCTTCAGGCTTTGGGGGAGCCCGTCCAAGTAGGGGTGTCTCTTGCCTCACAGATGAGGATGTGTGTCCCAGGGGCTCAGCCGGCTGCCAGCCACTCTGCCCCGGGGGGTGCCCAGAGCCCCTTAGCACTGGAGGGGTGGTGCTGCCCTTCGCCTGCCTCAGCCACCAGCAGCCGGGACATAGGTGTCCCCCCCGGGGCCCCCGGAGACGGCTTGTGAGGAATCGACTGACTGTGTCACGTGTGGCCGGCTCTAGATCTGGAGGTGCGGCCGCACGCCCGCGTTAGAGGTGGTGACGGGGACCCTGCTTTCCTTCTCTTTCAGACGGATGCGGATATCCAGGCACTGTTCACGGGCATAGACGGCCTGTGTAGGAAGTACTCAAGGGAGACCTGCCAGGTGAGCCCTGCACAGGGGGCTTCTTGCTCGGCGTAACCCGTCGTGAGGCTGTCCCCCTCCCGACCCTGCCCCTGCTCACCCCCCGCCCCCCCCCAGGCGTCTGACCACCCAGACATCACAGGACCACGTGCAGGCCACCGTCTGTCCAGGAAGCTGCCTGGGAAAGAAGGGAGTCCCCCAGCCATCCCGCTTCTCCCCCTTCGCTCAATGTGTAGCCCCCACGTGGGGCAGGGGAAGAGGCCACGCGGGGCAGCAGCAGGAGCCGCCTCTAGCTGAGACCTGTCCCCTGGGGCGGCGGGCCAAGACAGGGCAGTGCCCGCCCTGACACCCTGGGCCCGTTGCACGTCTGGAGGCTGCTGTCTGCCAGCCCCGCCCAGACCTCCTCTTCTGCGAGGCCGCTTTCCAGCCGTGACGCGGCCCGAAGCCAGCGCAGTGTCACCCGTCTACGTTTAGCGCTGCAGTCCCATCTGGGGTCCAGGACACAACAGTGGCACAAGGCAGGGGCCGAGCAGAGCCCGGATGCCTCTGTCATCCTCCGCAGGGGGAGCTTTCGTGGGCCGGGCCCCCGAGGCCCGGGAGCCATCCGTGTTCTCAGGCTTAGAGAGCCTGACGCCCACGACATTCAGAACCACAGGCAGCCCTGTGCCAGGACATGGCGTTGCCAGACAGCCCTGCAAAGACTCATGCTGTCCCAGACCGTGCGTGGCCCCCGGGGTGGGGACGGAGGCTGCTGAGGCAGCTGCCGAGCAACCTGCTCTTCACCTCTGGGTCCTGTCTCCCATGGTCGTGAGCCTGGCGGTCGCGGTGCGCAGTGGGGTTTCCAGAGGCCACACGGCAGGATGTCACACTGGTACCCGTGTTAACACGGCAGGTTTATTGATCCGCAGTGAATGGATACGTGCCCGAGGTTTCTCTCAGTATTTGCGTCTAGTGGGGTCAGCGTTGGCAGAAAAGCCCTGGAGCTCTGGGGGCCTCCAGCCGCTTGAAGAGCGCAAAGCCTCCCTCCTCCCTTGGCCCCGGGCACGCGTGAGACCCTGTCAGGACCGCGACAGGCCCTTCCGCCGCAGCCTTGGGAAGCCCCCCCTCCTGATCCATTGGGGAAGAAACAGAATTCTCCCTTCTCCCTACGACCTCCCTGGGACCCTGCTCACCTGGCTGCCTCTCCCCTAAGCCAGGCCAGTCCGCGTTGGTCAGAGTGTGGACAGGCCGCTGCTCCTCCAGGGGGTGGGGATGAGACAGGAGACCTGACCGACCCTGACCTGCCACACGGAGGCCGGGGCTCCACCTGACGCGACCGCCCCCCGGCCCGGGCCGGCCCGCACCTCCTGCCAGGCACAGAGAACGGCAAAGAATGGGTGTGCGTGGTGGGCTCCCGGCCTGGCCTTCCTCAGCCCGTGCGCCTCACAGACTCTGGCGAGGCCGTGCCCTCTCCGTCCAGGAGGGCGTTCTCTCCCAGACGAGGCTCCCGGCACTTTCGATTTTGTCCTGTTGGTGTCCCCACCCCCATCAAGTCCGCAGCGGTCAGCCCGAGGGGCCCGGCACACGGTCAGTCGGGCCGACACCCTGGGGTCCTGGAGTCTGGCCCCTGCCTGGTACAGGTGGGCGGCACGCAGACACGGGGTCCACGCTGCCACGGACTCACACCAGGACCCTCCGGGCTCAGTGTCCTGTCCGCAAGCCTGCCTCGCACACGTCCTTCCTCCCCGTTCTGGAGTGAGCGCAGCCTGCCGGGTGAAGGAGCACGGCCCGGCCCCTCCGAGGCGAAGGCCCCACGTGCCAGCGCGCGTGCGGCCCTCCCGTGGCCGTGCTGTGGTCGTGCCCAGAGGCTCCTGCTGTTGCTGAGTCTGCCCTGCCCCGAGACACCAGGCTTCAGAGCCAGTGTGCCACGTTCTCTTCCTGCCGCACGCCTAGCGCCCGTTGAGGAAGGAGACCAAGCAGACAGACTTGAGTCTTGTCCTGCTGAAGGTGACAGTGGAGGGTGGCTTCAGATCCACCAGAACCGCTCCCCACCATGCCCGGCCCCCACCCAGGTCTAGACCGTCAGGCCTGCCTCGCCGCCCACACCGCCTCGCCCGGAAGTGAGGCCCCCCTCCTGGAAGCCAGACCTGAGGAGCCACAGGGCCCGAGAGCTGTCGTCGAGGACAAGCTCTGAGGATGGCCCCTGGTGGCGTCCCTCCGGACTAGTGCTCCGGGCCGAGCCTGTGTCTGTCGCCCCTCGTCCTTCGGAGCGGAAGCCCCAGCCGCGTGTTCTCCAGACCCCGGGGGCGCAGCACCCTTCAGAAGATGCGGTCAGGATAGGAGGGTGTTTGTCACTCCTGACTGTGGTCCCGTCTTCCGGGGATGGCCTGGCCCCCAGACGAGGTCTTTGGACCCGCTGTGGACTGGCCGTCCCTTCATGTCTGTGCGTTTGGCGGATTCCTGGGGAGGGACCCGCGGGATGCTGACTTCCTATCCCACGTGGCCCTGCGCCCAGCCCTGCACGTGCCACCATGGGAGCCTTGCCCCGGGGCAGCAGAGTCGGGTTTTATCAGTCACTGCATAGTATCTCAAGAGGGAACGCATCGCGTCTGGAGGCTTCCCTCCTGGGGGATGGCTGTTTCCTCCCCTGAGTAAATCTCAGGCCGCGGTTTCTGATTTACGCTGCTGCTCTCGGGAGCCCACTGCAGACGCGGAAGTCAGGGCTCCCACAAATGGAAGACCAGAGATGGTGTTGGGCCAGGAGCAGTGGGCCCTGGAGGTCCAGACAAGGTCCGTGGGCTCCCAGCCGCTTCCGCTCCACCGGGTGCCCTTGCCTGCGCTGGCTCTTCCCTCCCAGGCTGGCCCCGTCCACCTAGACTTCCGGGTGTGCCTGTTGGTGCTGTTTGGTCAGGAGGCCATCCTGTGACCCAGCTGCTGCTCCCAAAGGGGCGGTATGCTGCGATTGGGCCGCTGGTCGTGTCCATCCCGAGGCCAGGCCCCGAACGCCTCTGAAACCACAAGCAAGGGAGGCAGCGCGACCCTCACTGGAGCTCGCGGCCTCGGCTCGCACTTGGACACACACCACTGCTCACGCTCCCTGCACGGCCGTCCTGAGCTCTGCTTTGGGCACAGGGTGGCAGCCGGCGGGGCTGCGCCTGAGCCAGTGGACAGGCAAGGGGACGGGCATGCTGGTGCTTGCACTGACGGTCCCTCCCAACCGCTGGCTGCCAGGACAGTGTGCGGTGGCAGCCCTGTGCCAGGGCCAGCGGCTGAACGTATTCTCTTCTCAGGTTTCAGAATTTCAAGAAAAGCACAGAAAGAGACTGTTGGCCTTCTACAGAGAAAAGGTAAATCCAGCGACATGCCGCCTCGTCACAGGCTGCGCCTCACGGCCGCCAGGCCCCTGGGTCGGCACCTACCCGCCCACCCTGAGTCTGGTGCGCAGTTCCTGTCCGTGGTCTGCACGTGGCTGCTTGGGGGCCCTGCTGTGATCACCAGGGCAGGTTCACCTTGGGATGCCAACGCTGACCCACTCCCGTCCCCAGAGCCATAAGTTACTTCCTGTCGGCAGCAACTGTGAGGTAGCACTGGCCGGCCAGTCCTTGTTTTTTTTTTTGTTTTTTTTTTTTTTTTTAATGTTTTATTTATTTCTAGAAAGAGAGAGAGCGTGAGCTGGGGAGGGTCAGAGAGAGAGAGAGTCACAGACTCCTAAACAGGCTCCAGGCTCTGAGCTGGCAGTCAGCACAAAGCCCAACGCGGGGCTCAAACCCACGAACCGCGAGATCATGACCCAAGCAAAAGTCGGACGCTTAACCAACTAAGCCACCCAGGCGCCCCTGGCCAGTCCTTGTAAAGGACGCTCTAGGTGCCTGTTCATTTGTGCTCTAAGTACTCTATTCCCACCCTGTAAGTACTCGCCTCTCACCCTCCAAGTACTCGCCTCTCGCCCTCTAAGTATCTCCTCTCGCCCTCCAAGTACTCTAGCCCTGTAAGTACTCACCTCTCGCCCTCTAAGTATCTCTTCTCGCCCTCCAAGTACTCACCTCTCACCCTGTAAGTAACCTCTCGCCCTGTAAGTACTCTCCTCTCACCCTCTAAGTACTCTATTCCCACCCTGTAAGTACTCGCCTCTCACCCTCCAAGTACTCGCCTCTCGCCCTGTAAGTACTCGCCTCTCGCCCTCCAAGTATCTCTTCTTGCCCTCTTAAGTACTTGCCTCTCGCCCTCTAAGTATCTCTTCTTGCCCTCTAAGTACTCACCTCTCGCCCTCTAAGTATCTCCTCTCACCGTCCAAGTACTTGCCTTTCTCCCTGTAAGTACTCGCCTCTCACCCCGTAAGGACTCTAAAGGAAAGGAAAGCAAAGCTTTGGTAAAAGCAGCAGTGTTAATCTGGGGCTTCAGGTCTGACTCAGAACGGCGCCTTCTGGAGTGTAGACAGAGCTCCTGGGTGAGGTGCCTCATGCTCCTGGGGAGCACCTGGGTGAGGCTGCCTCATGCTCCCAGGGGGTGGCGCCCCTGACGGCCTGAGCTCCGTGCACATTCACTCGACAGCGAGAGGACAGCTCCCGTGTCGCCCACGTTCCGATTTGTGGTTTAAGAGGTTGGAGGCTCGGCGTGTGCTTGGGGAAGCGTCAGCCACGCCACCTGGTGACCAGAACTCTGGTCGTGTTTAGATCTCCAAGCTGGAAGAATCCCTTCGGAGGTCAGTGCTGCGGATGGAGCAGCTGCAGGGGTGAGTCCTCGCAGAGCGCGCGCATCCAGGGCAGCCGACTGCATGCCCTTGGCCGTCTGTCCCAGGCCTTGTAACCCAGGGGGCTGGGGAAGGAGCGCTTGCATTTGCTGCAAGCTTCTGTCAAGGCAGCAGTTCAGTGGGAGGCGAAGGGGAGCAAAGGGAGACAGAAAGGGAGATGTGAGAACCCCTGAGGGGCCCCTGAGGCAGAGGCGCCCGGTGGCCGGGCCCTGTCGGGGCTCCACGCACAGCCTGGCGGCCTCCCGTCTGCCAGGAACTACGGCACGGGGACAGGTGAACCCAAGCAGCACGTGTGCTCCACGTGTGGAGCCAATGGTGCCGGCGGGCGGGGGAGGTCCCGGGGGGGGGGGTCCCACTGTCAGCAGGGCCTTCTGCCCTGAGGTGTGTCCACGAGGTCAGCATTCTGATCCTGGCGGCCCCGAGCGCAGCCGCTCCCGTGCGGCCTCTGCCCCTGCAGCCTCTCTGACGTGCACGGGGCTTTCCTTGGCCCCCAGGCCCGGTTCTCCGCTCAGCTGCTGCGGCACACTTTTTCCATCACAAGTTCATTATGGCTGCTCAGTTTTACGTTTCTAGAACATTCCCGGTCATTTTTACCACTGTGGTGTTAGCTTCTTTTTGTCCCCATCTTCTGCTAGGCACATCGCAGGTGGCGTGTCCCCGGCACCCAACTCCTCCGAGTCCCCGTCTGCCTGTTCTGCCCTCTGGGCCGGGAGGGGGGTCCGTTCATCCTGGGGGCTGGCTCCGCACGCGCTCTCACCCAGACCGCGTCCACCTGTTCCCCGGCCAGGGCAGGAAGGGCCCAGGCGGCGCGGCGTGGCCTCACATCCTCCCGTGGGGGTGCTGGTGGCTCTCTGTTACCCTCGTGTCCTGGGGGGAGGGAGGGCAACACGGAGCACATCGGTGTTAGGAGCCCACGGGCAGGGGCGAGGGCCCTCAGAGATGCGCGGCCCCCATGCCACAGAGGCGGCCGGCCACCTGCCCCCGCCGTGGTCCGTCAGGCGGTTAGCACCTGCTTGTTCCCGGCACTGGGCGCTGGCAGTCAGAGGGAGCCACAGGCCGCTTGCCCGTCCTCAGGGGGCTCCTCGGGGACGTGGGAGTGTGTGTGTGTGCGCGCGCGCATGCGTGTATGTGTGAAGGAGGCTGGCGGGTGGGGGCCAGGCGCCCGCCGAGCATCTGGCTGCGCTGCCGGCTGAGGCTTGTAACTGGGACGGGTCACGTGGAAGAAAATGCTTACGGTCTAATGAACTCCTCTCTCTCTGTCTGTGTAGCACGAGGTTGTCACAACAGTCAGCTTTCAGCACAATAAAAACTCCGGTTTTGAGTAAGTGACACAGGGTCTGAGCTGGGGGGATGTGAAGAGGCAGCTGGGCCGGCGAGCACGGCCTAACGCTCGGACCCCCGCTGCAGCCCCTTCGGCGAGGCCCGGCGGACACCTGCCTCTGCCCCCCGACTCATCAGCCTCTGACAGGTGTGTGTCCCGTCTGAGGGTCCCCGAGAGTCCCAGGCCAGCTCCGGCGGGTCGCACCGCCAGTCCTCTGACACGCCTCTGGTTCTCTCCTTCCTCCACCCTGCAAGTCTCCCCCTCCCCCCACCCTGCTGGACGGCTCAGCGGACAGGCAGTGACACCGAGTGCAGGATGCGGCAGCCTGCCTCTCCCTTGGGCTCCTGCCTGCCCCACGGCACCCATGGGGCGCAGCCTCACCGCCAGGTGTGTGGTCCGGGCTGGCCCGTCACAGCTCTGTCCCCACAGTCACAGCGATTGGTTGGAGGACATCCTGCAACCACACTGGGCCAATGGGCGTCATCCCTGGGACTCTGACCTGTGGCCGGGACGGCCAGGCCAGGGGAGGCGGCTTGGAGACTAATCCAGCACAGACAAAAGTAGAACAAGAGACCTCAGCCGCACAGGTGGCTCCCCTGGGGACCCTGAGCCCCCTGGGGCTTCTTCGCCGTGTCCAGCAGCTCCCCCCCCCCCCACGGGAGCCCAGTGGCCCCTCTCCCGTCCTTTCTTTGTTGTCACTCTTCTGCCTGTTTTCTCCTACGAGGAGGCCCTGGCGGTGCTTCCGTGTCAGACTCGGCCGAGTAGTTCAGGAACGAACATTTACTGAGACGCGGGGCGGGCGGGGAGCGCTGAGGGCGGTGCAGGGGCTCGGGCCTGAGAGGGCTGTGGGGACGGGACGAGGAGGCCTCCGCGTGCAGGGGCCTGGACGTGGGCACGGGGCCTGTGGCACGAGTCTCCGTGGTGTCACGTGGCTGATGAGCCCCGGGCCCCTGAACGTGACCCCTTGTCATTTAACAGGGTGGTGTCCATGCAGGTTGACCCTACTCCTTCCCCAGCAAGAAAAGTGAGTACCCCTGCTCCCTGGGTCCCGCCTCATCCCACCCGCAGCCTCTGGTTTTCTCAGCGCTAGGAAGCACCAGCCTTCGGCCCTGCTGGGCGGGGGGGCCGGGGGCCCCGAGCAGGCTGGGATGTGGTTCATAAAGCAGGTCCTGGATAACGGTTTCCAGCACGCTCCCCTTCCGTGAGCAGCAGGTGGGGAGGAAGGAAGAGCTGCTGAGTGAAATCAGGACAAACCCAGTCCGGCCGCATGCGGCAGAGGGTAGGAGACCCGGAAGAACAGAGGCTCAGCTCCCACTTGGAGAGAGGCGAGGCCCCAGGGAGCTCGAGCCGTCCGTCCTGGCCCTGGTAGAGAGAGGCCTGGGACTCCCCTACCCCCGCACCCCAGGCCAGATGTCAGGCAGCTCCGGAAAGGGGTGGGGAAGCGGGTCCCCAGAGGGAGTGGCCTGGGGCACACGGACTCGGTGGTGCCCTGACTTAATTCATATCCCGCCTGGCACTGCTTGTTCGCAAGCACCTGGGACGCGGCCGCTCCGTCTCCGGTGGCCCCGTGAGTGTGTGCTGTGTGCAGGCTGGTTACTGAGAAGTAGTGCTTGTTTCCCAGGGGCCAGCCTGGAACCAGGTTAAGGAGGAATCTGGATTCCAGGATAGGAGGCGGGGGGGAGGAGACACCCTGGTCCTTGGCATCCGGTGCCAGTGTGTGCCTCCCCTCCATGCCCATCTCTCCGTCCCCCTCCTGTCCCTGCCCCCCCCCGCATGTGGGAGGGAGGCTGTGGGTGCACCCCCTCCCTGCCCTGTGGATCCCAGCCCCCACACGCCGCCTGCTGGCCCTTGCTCCACGGAGGCTGCACTCGGAGCCTCGCCCACATGTGGCCTTGTTTTGGAGATTAGAGGCTGACATCCTAAGCTGATCACCATGTCCCTGGGTGTTAGAGTCCAGGGACCCGAACACAGTGAACAGTCTTGAAATTGCAGAGTGAGGTGCTGGACCAGGGGTAGCACGCGCTGCGGTCAAGGGCAGGTTGGGAGGAGGTGAGGCTCTGCCCCCAGGCCTCCAGGAGGTGAGGCTTCCAGGATGGAGACCGTGGGCTTTATCAACAGCTACGGGTCATGTTTTGCCAGCCCCAGGCCAGAGCTGGACGCAAGTCCTCCAGGACACTTGTCCACCCCCTTGCTCAGCTCCTGGACACTGTCAGCCCTGGAGTGGGTGCAGGTGACGGCTCCTGGGCTAGAGCAGCTGTGAGTCCCCAGCTGGGGCAGGGTGACAGCTGGGTCTTGGGAACCCCACCCTGGGCCCGGGGCAGGGCGCGGGAGGGCACAGGGCTCTGTCCCTGCGTTGGTCTGTCCTGAGGGGTATCATCCAGTGGTTGAGGAGAGGCCCCGGCCCCTGTGGGTTGTCTGGGGTGAGTGGCCACGGCTGCAGGGGACGCAGAGTGAGGGCACCTCGGCCAGTCAAGAAGGTGCGGTGCCCACCACACGACACCTGGCGCGAGCAGCCCGGGGTCAGCCACCTGGGGTGTGGCCCGTGCTGGTTCTAGAGGCCCTTGTCCCCCTCCCTCGCGCTGCCCTGCGCCGAGCCTGGGGCCCTGGGAGAGCAGATAAGAGATGGACAGGGTGCTGGTGACGCTTCAGACGCGGACAGCGACGGTCGGCCGCTGTGAACAGTGAAATGAGGGCTCACGAATCCCGAGTGAAGACCTGCTGTAACGCAGGCATTAATGAGGGAGGCCAGTAAAATGTGAGAACCGCCTCGAGGGAGAATCCAAGGAGCAAACCCACGTCTGCCGTCGGGATGCAGAAAGCAGTGTGGGCAGACGCAGCACCAGCAGCTTCCACTTGGGACCCGGACCACAGACACCCCAGGGGGAGGTTTAGACTCTGAGTTTTCCACGCTGTCTCGACACTGGGGGAAGTCCTAGATCTTTCTAGGGTGTTTGCTCGCTGGCAGGAAGAACTCTCAGTGAGCAAGTTGTGAATGGAAGGAGAGCCATAAAGCTGCGCCTGTGGGAGCCGGTGTGGGAGGGCCTGCAGCACGTGGAGCGCGCCCCTCCTCGCAGCCATCTGCCACGTGCGGCCTCTCTGAGCCACACCCCAAAATGCAGCCTGGCGTGGGCCACCTCTGGGGGCATCGTGGCTTCCTGGGGCCGCCTCAGGGCGGGCTGCTCCTGCTCTGTCCGGGGCGGGGGGGCCTCAGGGAACATGCAAGTGTCAGGTCGGATCCTAGGCAGTGGCTCCCAGCCGCGCTCCAGACACGGGTCCTCACAGGGACTCGCGGTGCCCGCACAGCCCGGCCAGCCGTCTGTGTGTCCACGTGCATTCCGCTTCACCCGTTACTGGATTCTCCCGGAAACGGGACTCGAGAGCTGATGCAGCGACTAGAAATCCTTTCTTAGTAGAAGCCAGGGCGAGACCGCATTCTAATCCAGCGTAGTGACTTTGTCCTTGCTCTGTGACCAGTTTCTCTGCTGGAGTTGCAAACTTTCTGCCCGCTGTGGAGAGCTGGCTTGCAGGGGACGTGTGTGGCAGTGATGTGCGGGCCAGGCTGGACGGAGGTGCAGGTCGGGGGCACAGCCCGCGGGGACCTGTGAAAGGAGCAGGTGCAAAGCCCTGCGGGGGCGCACGGGAGTGGCGGACGTCTGTGCACCCGACTCAGCCTGGAGCGGGGGCGGGGAGAGAGACCGGCTGATGGGAAGGACCCAGGAGGGGTGGGACCAGAGCTCTCGCCCGTGGGAGGGCAGCTGCCGCGAGCCCACCGCTGCGGCCAGGAGGCCCCCTGTGGGGGGCGTGAGCAGCCGGTCAGTGGACATCTCCGTGCCGAGCCGGCCACCAGGCAGGGCAGTGCTGTTTGCAGTGTCTCTGCCCTAGGGCGCTGGCCCTTCGGGGTTGAGGCTTGCTGGTGGCTATGAGCCAGGGGGTGGGGTCGCAGAGGGTACCCTGCAGTGGGGCCCAGGGGAGGCCGCCAGACCAGAGCAAAGGGCCACGGGGGTGGGAGCTGGGAAGATCGGCCACCGTCAGGGACACGGCCTGGTGGCCAAGTGTAGAGGCAGAGCAGAGGAGGCAGGGCTGTGGGGGCCACGGGAGTGAGGCCGGGACGGCCGTGGCAGTGAAGAGCCGGCAGCAGGAAGGACCGCTTGGCCTGCATGCCTGGCGTCTCTGGTTGGAGGGGCCCCATCACTGGTGACAGCCCCAGTGCGCTGTCGTCTCGGGACTGCGGAGGGGACCACCCCTGGGAACCATGACCGGTGTGTGGCCGGAGCTGAGCTCCCAGGAGCGAGAACACCTCGCCCATCGACACCTGGAGTTCAAGGTGACAAAACTATACGTCCAAAATTAGGGTTTATGCAGGATTTAAAATGTTCTGACATCAGCCAAAGACTACATTTTCTCTCTTCTGAAATTCTTGCAAGTGCTCGGGCTGCTGGCCGGGCTGCTGTGAGCGCCCTGCACTGCTGAGCCTGGAGCTGACCCAACGGGCCCAGGCAGGGTGTTCACGGTAAATGGGGAGGACCTTGCTCTCGGGAAGGGTGGGTTAGAAACTGAGTTATTTTCCTTTCATGTTTAGCCTGAGGTAGCAGCTGGCCCGGCAAGAATCTCACTGATCAGCCCACCTCAAGATGGACGCATGGGTAAGTGGGGGTCCCTGTCCCCACGCCCCAAACAGACACACCACTGAACTACCTTCCCCAGAAGGGAACACGTGGTCAAACCCAGCAGAACCCACCGGTGGGGGCGCTGTCCCTCCCCGAAGTCCGCGTGGGCAGCGCCCTGTTCCCCAGAACTGTGTGGCTGCCGGGCCCACTGGGGACCCTTTGCAAGCGAGCATCTGCCTCGCGAAGCGCTCTCGTCCCCGCAGCCCCTCTCTGCGGCCCCAGCAAGATGGCGTCGTCCTGGGTCTGCCTCCTGGTAGGTGTCGGAGTTGCCGGCGGGTTTCCAGAGCGAGTGCCCGCGCCCGCCCGCGCCCCGTCCCAGCTGGAGGCAGGGCGAGCCCCCACCCCGGCCCGGCCCCCCCAGCCGAGGGCCACGTTCACATTCACGATGTGTGACCCCGCCTGCCGGCCCCCAGCCCCAGCCTCTCTGCTCTCTGCCGCCCCGCCCGGGCTTCTTGCCGAAGGGGAGCTCCTAGCAGCCGCCTCAGGAGGACCCGGCGGGGGCTGTGTGGGCTCATCGAGAGCCTCTTGCTGCCACCGGCCCAGCTGAGTGGGATTGGGGCCCCCGAGCATGGAGTTTCCCGGTTTAGGCAGTTTGTTCCCCCCGACGGAGCTCCGTGTCACACCCAGTGAGAAGGCCTGACTTGTTCTCCAGCCCCGTTCAGCCTCGTGTTAATGGCATTTCCGTGGTGTCCGCGGCCGCATTCTTAGGCGCCGCTCTTGCCCTGCACTCCCCTTGGTTGGGAGCGGGGGGGGGGGGCTGCAGGCTGTGGCGTGCGCCCCCCCACCCCGCTGCTCCCACGTGGTCGTGGTCGTGCCGGGTCTGCCGTCACGGGGTTGAGGCGTGGAGGCCTGCGTGAACAGGGCCTCGTGCGCGGGCCCCTTCATACCCACACCTGCCATCTGCCTGCCCAGCCCGGCTGCGCCCTCCCCTTCCCTTGCCCCTCACCGGCCGCCCCACACTTGAGCGGGTGTGTGCAGGGTCACCAGTCCTCGCTGGCTTCTCTCCCTGGCACGTGTTTCCAGAACAGCGATCCCCTTAAATGTTTTCCAGATGTATTGATCAGTATTGAGAAGTAAGGGGGGCCTGCCTCGTGCATCCTGCCACAGGCGTCTGGAAGGGACAGGTCCTCGTGGCTGCGACTGTGACCCTGAGTGCCGTCAGTCATCTCTTGGTTTTTTACTGTGAAGTATGTTTTTTCCTTTTGTCCTTCACGTGTATGAAGTCCTCAAGATGAAAGGTAGCCATCTTTTATCCAATTTGTAGCTTAATTTTTGACTTTTTAAAATTTTAGATGCTTAACATTTTTAATTAATTTTTTAAAATTTACATCCCAGTGAGTTAGCTGTAGTGCAGCAGTGACTTCCGGAGTAGCGTCCAGCGGTCCATCCCCCGTAGAACACCCCTGCTCATCCCAGCACGTGTCCTCAGTGCTCCTCACCCACTCAGCCCCCCCCCCCGAACCCGCCAGCAACCTTCAGTTTGTTCTCTCTTTAAGAGTCTCATGTTTTGTCCCCCTCCCTGTTTTTATATTATTTTTGCTTCCCTTCCCATGTGTTCATCTGTTTCGTATCTTAAATTCCTCATGCACGAAGTCGTCTAATGATGGTCTTTCTCTGACTGACCAGTTTCTCTTAGCATAAGGCCCTCTGGTTCCATCCACGTAGATGCAGATGGCAAGATTTCATTCTTTTGATGGCCGAGTAACACTCCATTGTACGTATATACCTCATCTTGTTTATGCATCCACCCATCGACGGACACTTGGGCTCTGTCCATACTGCGGCTATTGCCCGTAGCGCTGCTGTACACATTGGGGTGCGTGTCCCTTCCAAACAGCACACCTGTAACCCTCGGATAAATACCTAGTACTGCAGTTGCTGGGTCATAGGGTGGTTCTATTTTTAATTTTTTGAGGAACCTCCACACTGTTTCCCAGAGTGGCCGCACCAGTGTGCATCCCCACCAGCCGTGCAGAAGATCCTCTTTCTCCGCATCCTCGCCAACATCTGTTGTTGCCTGAGTTGTTAAGTTAGCCATTCTGACAGGTGTGAGGTGGTATCTCAGTGTGGTTCTGATTTGTGTTTCCCTGATGATGAGTGACATTGAGCATCTTTTCATGTGTCTGTTAGCCATCTGGATGTCTTCTTTGGAAAAGTGTCTATTCATGTCTTCTGCCCATTTCTTCACTGGATTTTTGTTTTTTAGGTGTTAAGTTTGATAAGTTCTTTATAGATTTTGGATACTAACCCTTTATCTGAAATGTTGTTTGCAAATATCTTCTCTCATTCCGTCGGTTGCCCTTTACTTGTGCTGTTTCCCTCGCTGTGTAAAAGCTTTTTATTTTGATGAGGTCCCAAAAGTTCATTTTTACTTGTTTCCCTTGCCTTCAGAAACATTGAGTAAGAAGTTGCTGTGGCCAAGGTCAAAGAGGGTTTTTTTTTTTTTTTGGTGTGTTTTTTTTAAATGTTTTATTTATTTTTGAGAGAGAGAGATAGAGACAGCGTGAGCAGGGGAGGGTCAGAGAGAGAGGGAGACACAGAATTAGAAGCAAAAGAGGTTTTTACCTGGTTTCTCCTCCAGGATTTTTATGGCTTCCTGCCTTACGTTTAGGTCTTTCATCCATTTTGAGTTTATTTGTGTGTATGATATGAGAAAGTGGTCCAAGTTCATTTTTCTGCATGTTGCTGTCCAGTTTTTCCAGCACTATGTGCTGAAGAGACTGTCTTTAAGACATTCCATTGGATATTCTTTCCTGCTTTGTCAAAGATTAGTTGGCCATATGTTTGTGAGTCCATTTCTGGGTTCTCTCTTCTGGCATTTTTATGTTCTCAAATCTGTTCATTGTTTTTTATTCACAGATTTCTGTGTTTGGACAGGTTTTTTCCATACTCATATCATTTTCTTCTAGTTCTTAATGTTTAATATTTACCTTTTCCCAAGATGTTTGGAGTGTGTTTTGAGATCTAGTGTAAGATGAATGTCCCAACTTGGTATTTTTATAATTTGTTTTTAAAATATTTCCGAAATAACACACAAAAAAATGGTATGAGTGATATGAAAAACTCCCTTGTTCCCTTTACCCAGATTCCCCAACTGTTAGGATTTTGCCAGATTTGCTGCCTACCCTTTATTAGTCAGTGTGTTTTTGTGCCCTGAGAGCACATTGCAGGCATGGCGCCCCAGCCCTCCTCAAAGCACAGGGCCGCTCAGAGCAACAGCACAGTCTGCGGGCAGCTCAGCGTCCACACGGCTCTGCCCCTTGGCCATTGAGAAGCCTGTTTGCTCTTGGGCTCAGAGTTCCTGTGAGGACATCCTGCATCCCATACAGCCGCTATGTCTCGTTCACTTTCCTTGTGTTCTGTCTTCAGCCATTTTAAGGATTATAGACCTTAAGTTGTAACAGAGGCTAAGAGACCCCCAGGCCTGGGTCAGCCAGGAATTCCGTATCTAATAGAATTCTCCTTTAAAAGTTTAGACAAAATAGGAGCACATGGTGGCCCAGTTGGTTAAGCGTCTGAGTCTTGATTTCGGCTCAGGTCATGATCTCACGGGGCATCAGGCTCTGTACTGACAGCACAAAGCCTGCTTGGGATTCTGTCTCTGTCTCTCTCTGCCCCTCCCCCACTCTCACTCTCAAACATTAAAAAAATAAAAGTTGAGGCAAAATAAACCTATCACAGAGTAATGAAAACAGCAGCGCTGCTAGTACACGTGCTCTACAGGCAACCCTGACGGAAGGCACTGAGCGGAAGATGCAGGCTGACGGGACTGGAGGGAGGGGTCTCGTTCTCTGGTACTTGGCACAACGTGAGATGCTGGAAGCAGCGAGTCTAACACAACAAACACGTGACACGTGGGGCAGCACACGGGCGGGGGCGGGGCGTGCCAGAGCCCGGGGGGCGCGCCCCAACAGGGTGAAGTCCACCCTGACTAGGTGGACTTGTTTAAGGTAAACGCAAACAGGACTCTAAAGATACAGTTAAAAATCAAGAATTAAAATATTACATTAAAAAGCATTTGTTTACCACGAAAGAAGGCAAGACAGACCAGAAGGAAAAAGACGCAGGAGACCTATGGACAATGACTAGCGGAATCGGCATAAATCAGATCTGTCGATGCTTACCTTCTCCATGAACAGGACTAAACACCGATGAGAAGGCAGAGCTCGTCAGGCTGGGTAGAGAAGCTGCAGCCGCACACTGTCTGCTGGAATCCAGCGGCACAGAGACTCTGAAGACAGGGTGGATGCACCGTGTAGACGGTAAGCATGAGCTGGAGCTGCAGTGTGACTCCTGAACAAAATGGTTTCAGACTAAGGATGTTTCTGGAGACGAGGAGAACGTCTCAGTGATACGGGGTGGCTACGCACACAACAGCAGCTGGTTAATGAAGCAAAAGCAGACAAGCTGGAAAGGAATAGACAATTGGGTTTTAGAGATCTCCATACTCTTCACAGAGGTTGATGGAGCAGCTAGACTGGTAACGCTGTAAAAGGAAACAGCAACATGGCCACACAGACCCAGCCTACCAGGGATAACGTTAAATGTGAACACACTAAACAAGCCAGTGGAAGAGCGGAGATTGGCAGATGGTGCAAGAAATAGCCCCGAAGGAAGACACACTGTAGATGCAAGGAGACAAATAGAAAAGTTATGGGAAAGGATCTATCAAGTACAGAGCTCGGGAGGCTGTTTTCACATAAGACACAATAGGTTTCTTAAGATGAATATTACTAGACATGAAGGGCATTTCATGACGATAAAAGAGTCAGTACGCCAGGAGAACTTAATACTATTAGTGTAGACCACACCAAAATTGAAAGACCCAAAATACATAAGGCCAAAACTGACAAAAACAGAAATGGTTAATTCAACAGTTGTGATTTGGATATTTCTTTTTTTTTTTTTTTAATGTTTTTTTTATTTATTTCTAGGAGAGAGAGAGAGAGACAGCGTGAGCAGGGGAGGGTCAGAGA